GGTGGGCGCCTGTAATCCCAGCTACTCGGGAGACTGAGGCAGGAGAATCGCTTGAACCCGGGAGTCGAAGGTCGCAGTGAGCTGAGATCGCGCCACTGCACTCCAGCCCGGGCGGCAGACTCCGTCTGAAGAGAAACAACAAAAAAGTACCACCGTTTCGGTAACTATATCTCGGCATTTATTAACTTTTTGATATATCAGGAGCTTTCAAAACTGCAAGTGGCAGCCTTTCTCCACCTAGGAGAATCCATGCCCCACAGGTGTTCCTCTAACTTTTGGGCAGCGGGGCAGGGAAAGATCAATCAGAGAAATCAATACAGCTGGGGAATGTGGCCCCTCTTCCCTTAGTCCCCAAAAGGCAGGGCTTAGAGGAAGCGCTTATGGAGGGCGTGGGCCTCGGGGTCTCCGGGGCCAGCACCAGGCGAGGCAAACAAGGGCTCTAGGACGACAGTCTAAACACCCCCAGGCTCCCTCTACCCTAGCAAAACAGCAAAGCGAGCAGCCCACTCCACACCGGGTCCCACTCCAGGGTTTCGGGTCCTGCGTTGCCGGAGCTCTGGGAGGGCCGCTAGGGGGCGCGCCGTGGCCTCCCCGCCCTGTGCGCCACAGGTGGGGTGACCCCGCCCACACGGGCCCCCTTCGACCACGCCTATTCCAGCTGCCCGGTCCCGCCTCCTCTCCTCCCACCCCGGCCGACTCAACGGGAGCCGCTCCGCCCATCCCGGCCCGGCCCCGCCCACCAGGCCGCCTCAGGTGGGGTCGCCTCGCCCCTTCGGCCCCGCCCCCGGCCGCCCCGCCCGCCTCAGGTGGGGCCACCCGGCCCGCCTCGTTCGCCTGGGCCGCGTCCGGCCGCTTCTCTCTGCTCGTCGCAGACCGCCAAGGCGGCGCTGCCACAAGTTTTGACATTTTGGCGGCGGAGGCGCGCGCCGGCACTCTCTGGCCGAAGGCTACGGCGGTTGCCGACACTCCAGGGCCCCTTAGTCGCGCCCCGGCGCTCCCGCTGCCCGGAGTCCGGCGGCCACGAGGCCCCGCCGCGCCCTCCAGCCCTCGATCGTCCGCCCGGCTGCCGCAGCCATGTCCCGGGGGCCCGAGGAGGTGAACCGGCTCACGGAGAGCACCTACCGGGTAAGCCCGGGGCTTTCTACCTCGGGGGTCAGAAGGGGACTTTACGCGGGAAGATACTTCCCCTGTCCCCCAGCTCCCCTTCCCTCCCCCCCCGTCCCGTCCTTACACCTCGCCCCGTCTCTCCCACTCCTCCCCTGGCCCTTCACAGCCCCTCTTCTTCCTCCCCTGGCCCTCTCTCTCCCTGTCCCTCCCCTTCTCCCCATTTCCCACTCCCCACCTTCCCCGCTCTTCCCTCCTCTCCTCCTTGTGCTTCTTCCCAGTCCCTTTCCTTCCCCACCCCGTACCTCCCCTTCTGCCCTTCCGCTCCCCCATTCACTCTCCCTCCTCCCCTGTCCCACTTCCCTGCTCCTCCCCTCCTTCTGGGTCTTCCTTCTCCCCCTTGTGTCTCCTCCTCCTCCCCTGTCCCTTCTCCGCTTTCTCTCTCCGTCCTTCCCTGCCCATCCCTCTCCTCCCTCTCCCTTCCCCTCCTCGAGGTTCTTCCTCCTCCCGCGTGTCTCCCCCTCCTCCCCTGTCCCTTCTCCGCTTTCTCTCTCCGTCCTTCCCTGCCCATCCCTCTCCTCCCTCTCCCTTCCCCTCCTCGAGGTTCTTCCTCCTCCCGCGTGTCTCCCCCTCCTCCCCTGTCCCTTCTCCTCCCTGTCCCTCCTCCCTTCCCTGACCCTCAGGGCGCTGGAGACCGCCCCCCATCCCCTGATCAGCTACACATTTTACAACCAGTGCACTTAGGTTGGGGAGGGGTCTGTGGTGCGTCGGTGGGGCCCACGTCCCCCTCCCAACTTCTTGGAATCAGCGACCCGCGCTGGCCTGGCTGCCGGGCTTAAGCCCTCCGGGACCAAAGACACAAGCTCGAGTTTCCTTTGAGAAAAGAAAGCGCCCAAGAATGTGGGGGAGAAACTCCCCTGTAATTAGGATCTCCAGGTGAGCCGGGCTCAGGGCGTTCTCCAGGGAAACACCCTCCCCCTTAGACCCTTCTTCTCCCAATTTTTAATTGAACTTGGCTTTTATATTTGGGTTATTTGGTGAGGTTCTTGGAGTCAAAGAACACCCTAGGTCTTAATGAAATTGACCTAATCTTAAGGAATGCGTCGATGGCCCAGCTCTTAACTTGAATGTGTTAGGAAAGACTTTTTCCAGAAACAGACATACACTTAGGATTAGTGGCCAGTTAAAGTACTAACAAATGAATTCCAGTTGAAATAAGATATGTGTTTAATCATCTGCTATTAATAGAACACAAAACAACTTTTGTTTTAATTCAGCCTAGGCGCCTCGAACCCCTGAAACTTTAAAGTTCACATATAGCATGTTTAAGGTTATAAATGGTTGGTTGGTTGATGTGTTTTATCTTTTTTTCTGTTCCTGGTGCTTGAATCAGGAAGTTTGGTCATTTTGATAGACTTTTAAACTCTAAAATTTAGTTTCTGGGTTTTCAAGGTCTGAATTCCTAAAATCAGAGGAGTCTATCAACTTTTGTTGAAAGAAAGTAAGAGAAGAACATGAACATTTTCATTATGTATTGAAATCCAAGAGATTATCTGTTTAGTTTATCTTAACACACAAAGTGTATACTACCTCATATGAATTATGCCTCACAGATAGGGAGGAAAGTAGATACAGTTGACAGAGCGTTTTGGTGCTCAGCCACTGTGACCAAAAACTTTTCCTATTGGTGTGTTACCTTCATAGAGGGCGATCTTTAGAAATTTGGGAAATTTGAATGTTAAAGTCCTACGTTTGTATTGAGATTGCCACTATTTAAATGACCCGGAAGACAGTGCTGCATGAGGTGTGGGGTGCGTAAATAAAACATTCTTTCGGCTAGACTCTGACCTGGGAATTAAGTAGTAGCTGCTGTGATGATTGTCAGTGAAGGGAAAACCGTGTAATTGAGGAACGCAGATTATTGCAGATTTGAGTCAGAGTCTGATATCTGCTGCGGTGCAGAACACCACTGCCTTCTGCCCTCCCTCCAAGAACAGAGTGTTGTGTATCTTCCCAGTATGAGCTGCGGTAGCAGCTTGAGATCAGCAGTCAGGTGTTCAGAGTAAACACCTTTACTCCCACTTCTGCCTGACGTAGACTTTTAGTAATGACTCGTCAGAGGGACCTTACCAAGGCCAATTGCAGCATCACAAATGCCAACCTCTTGGGCATGTCGTATTACCCAAAGAATGGAAATGGCAGGAAAACAGTGTGGATTTCGTCATTTTGTTTGTACGTATTTGTAAACATAAAGCAATGTAAATGGAGATCAAAGACCAGTACCTTTTTGCTTTCCATTGCCAGGTATCTGAAAGCATACTGGAAAGCTCACTAAATGTTTGTTGATTGATTTTAATTACTATTCCCTTATTAGTGTTTTGGGATCGTGATTTTTTAATGTCCAGGTGGTAGGATAAGAATTTATGTGCATCAGACAACAAGTTTATGTGAGCTATGAAATAGTGAAGTCTGTTAGACCTTGTTTTGACCATGAAGGAAATGCAAAGTAAAATTTTACATCTAGGAGTTTGAAAAACCTTTCACTGCCTCTGTTTTGGGTTCTTCCCCCATCTGCCCCACCGCCCCCCACCCCTCGATGTTCAAGCTGAAAATAATTTCAACTTAATATGGCAAAAATCTGGCAGTGTTGATGAACCTAGTGCTTTTAAGAAGAGGCATCCTTTATGTTACCCAACCATCTACAATATTTTGCTAATAGAAAAGCAACCCAACCAGGTGTGTATACAAAACCACTTGCAAGGTTTTTTTTTATGACTTGCTAGTATGGATTTTAGATTAAAAAAAAAAAAAAAAAAACTCAGGTTTCCCCAATTTTGAAGTAAAGGAATAAATTCTTTAGAGAAAAGGAGGGATTATAAAGTAGTGTGACTCTCTGTAGACAGTATCAAATTTCCTTAAATGTATGCTATTTACACATTTGCTCAGATGTCTAAAATGTATACTTAGGCAAATAGTGACTGGCGATCCATGCCAACTCCCAGGAGAATGTGTATATTTTACTCCTTCATAAACAAATGACGTTATAAGCCCCAAAATGTCAAGTAATGTTGCTCTTACTAATTAGAGTTCAGCCAAAAATCCCTCCCCGCACACACGCTTTAGTCTCTAGCATGCCCATAATTTGCCCTCAAAAGCTTGCTGGTGATTTTGCATGGTTTTCTGATGAGTTTATGCTGTCATGATGGAGGAAGAAGTTAAAAAAAAAAAAAAAAAAAAACCCTCAATTAAGAGTAGCCACAGCTTTCCTAGAACTGTTAAAGACTTAGGAAGTGGAGGAAGGACAGGTGTGGTGGGATCCAGGGATGTCCTACCTACAGAAATCTTGCTAAACAGAGTGAAAGGGGAAATGTCACAGAAGCCTTTCGGTGTCACCTCCAGGAAGCATCCTCAGACTCTCTTTCAGATTGCAGACACCCTCTTCCATCTCCCAGCCCCACCTTAGGCTATGTTACCTTCCTCCATAACACTACCTTAGGCTGTGTGATGTATTTCTTTTTTTTTTTTTTTTCCCCTTTCTTTTTTTGAGATGGCATCTCAGCCTGTTGCCCGGCTGCAGTGCAGTGGCGTGACCTCAGCTCACTGCAACCTCTGCCTCCCAGGTTCAAGCGATTCTCCTGCTCAGCCTCCCGAGTAGCTGGGATTATAGGCGCCTGCCACTATGCCCAACTAATTTTTTTTTAAATATTTTTAGTAGAGATAGGGTTTCATCATGTTGGCTAGACTGGTCTCAAACTCCTGACCTGGTGATTCGCCCACCTCAACCTCCCAAAGTGCTGGAATTACAGGCATGAGCCACCACGACTGGCCTCCATGTATTTATTTCTTATGTTTCTTCCTCTCTCTTCCCACCCCAACTAGAATGTGAGCCCCACTAGGCAATGAGCTTTGTTTTGTTTTTGTTTTTTATTCCAAGCACTTAGAGCAGTTACTGGCACATAGTAGGCATGGGTATTTGTTGAATGAATAGGCATTTATCCATTTAATGTATGAAGCACCTGTCCTTTGCTAGGCTTCTGGTGCCCTCCTATTTCATAGAGTTTGCTTTTTGGTTTTTTTTGAGACTGAGTCTTGCTCTGTTGCCAGGCTGGAGTGCATTGGTGTGATCTTGGCTCACTGCAACCTCTGCCTCCCAGGTTCAAGTGATTCTCCTGCCTCAGCCTCCCCAGTAGCTGGGATTACAGGCACAAGCCACCACGCCTAACTAATGTTTTTGTATTTTTAGTAGAGATGGGGTTTCACCATACTGGCTAGGATGGTCCTGATCTCTTGACCTTGTGATCCGCCTGCCTTGGCCTCCCAAAGGGCTGGGATTACAGGCGTGAGCCACCGCACCTGGCCTATTAGAGTGTTTAATTCTGGGTAAACATCAGCCCTCCAGGTGAGTGTGGATTGTGTTTGCTTAACTCTTTTTATTTATTTGTTTTTGAGACAGACTCTTGCTCTGTTGCTCAGGCTGGAGTGCAGTCGTGCAATCTCAGCTCACTGCAACCTCCGCCTCCCACTTTCGAGTGATTCTCCCACCTCAACCTCCTGAGTAGCTGGGACTACAGCCACCCAGCTAATTTTTGCATTTTTTGGTAGAGGCAGGGTTTCACCATGTTGGCCAGGCTGATTGTTAACCAGACTGAGAAACTGAGGCCTAGAGAGTCTTTTAGTGATCAGCTGCCACATCCCACCAACCATGCTAGTGTTTGTATGGTAATTTAGTTTTCTGTGACTTACAGGTGCATAAACCAAATTACATTTTCATAATGCGGCAATCTAAGATGTCACTGGAATTTTCTGTCATTCTCTTAATTCATCATCATTGGCATGTTTCGAACAAACTCTAAGAAAATGAGGCCAGGTGCGGTGGCTCATGCCTGTAATCCCAGCACTTTGAGGGAGGCCAAGACAGATTAATTGCTTGAGCCCAGGAGTTCAAGACCAGCCTGGGCAATGTAGTGAGACCCTACCTCTACAAAAATACAAACATTCGCTGGGTGTGGTGGCACATGCCTATAGCCTCAGCTCCTCGGGAGGCTGAGGCAAGAGAATCGCTTGATCCCAGGAGGCAGAGGTTGCAGTGCTGAAATTGCACCACTGTACTCCAGCCTGGGCAACAGAGTGAGATACCCTCTCAAGAAAAAATAATAGGCCAGTTGTGGTGGCTCACATCTGTAATTCCAGCACTTTGGGAAGCCAAGGTGGGTGGATCATGAGGTCAAGAGATCGAGACCATCCTGGCCAACATGGTGAAACCCTGTCTCTACTAAAAATACAAAAATTAGCTGGGCGTGATGGCACATGCCTGTAATCCCAGCTACTCGGGACACTGAGGCAGGAGAATCACTTGAACCCCAGAGGCAGAGGTTGAAGTGAGCTGAGATCATGCCACTGCACTCCGCAGCTTGGCGACTGACAAAAATAATAATAATAGTGATTATTTTTTAACTAAAAGCTGTGTGAACTGTTGAAGAAAACAATTCCAATTTGTTTTAATTCCATGCACATTAGATTTCCCTTGCAGGTCTTTGCAAGACAAGAAATAATGCCCAGGACTGAAATAATGTCTCAAAAGTAAATCAAAAGCTACAGGCATGTAGCTGGGACCACAGGCATGCGCCACCATGCCTGGCTAATTTTTCATATTTTTGGTAGAGCAGGCTGGTCATGCACTCCTGAGCTCATGTAATCTGCCTGCCTCAGCTTTCCAAAGTGCTGGGATTACAGACCTGTCTTCCAAGCAGTAATAATTCCAACTTAATATTCCAACTTAAAAATAAGTTACTGTAAAAGCTACACAATATTTAGTTTATCTGCTGACCCATGCAAATATATTCTAAAATTTGTTTTTAAAACTTTGAATTGAATAGCAATATACATAAAGTTGTGATAACTCACTAAATTGTCACAAACTGAACACACTTGGGTAA